ATCCTGGCCTCTCTGTCCACCTTCCAACAGATGTGGATCTCCAAGCAGGAGTACGACGAGTCCGGCCCTGGCATCGTTCACCGCAAGTGCTTCTAAGCAGTTATGCTCGATTCAAATTATTATTACTATCGATATTGTTATTGCTACACCTTTCCCAAAAATGTACCGTTCACTGCCGTACCGCTTCGTCTAGTTGCGACTCCGTTAGTTCAATCCTATCGGTACTGTTTCTACGTGGCGGTGAGATTTCTTCCGACAAACATCGTCCGAGCATACACGTCATCTTTTGTATATAAGTTTACATCTACGGAATAAATCAGTCTTATATTCTTACAACGAATCTAAACGTAACTCTTCATTTAACGATCCCCTGAACGAACGGCGATGTTTTGAAAATCGTACAATTTTCGGTAGCATCGTCATCCATGGAAACACTACCTGTCGGTCGTGTTAAAGCTCTTTGGTTTGCTTTAATTGGCTTGTCTAATCGAAACGGTACTCAGCACTCTGTCACGATTGAAGTATATTATCGTAACGCACGGGTTGGGTAATTTGTTGTTGATACCGTGCATTTGCAGTTCGACGAAGCACGTATCGCACTTCTGCTTTTAGGAACGACACAATTAAAGATTCTTCAGTTTGTAAACTAATATTTGATTGACCGACCAAAATGATTGATGATATATATATATATATACACACACCTATATATTGATTTATGATTAAATCAAGTTTTCACTTCGAGTATATTTTTTAGTAAAATCTTTCAATTTGTCTGACGACAGACAGTATTATTAGGATTTGTTTCTCTCGATACAATCTCAAATCAAAAATCGGAGAATTTTTAGTTGTGTCACTTTTGAAGCGAGAATTCGATATCATTGGCAGGTCTGTTGAATGCCTCTGAGGAACGCACAAGATACAAATGATTCTGTCCTCGTAGAAGTGGACAAAACTTTATTCGAGTTATCGACGAAAAAAAGTCGTTTAGTCGACCGCACAGTTAAATCTTAATTTGCTTTTAGGTCTTTCTTTTTTGTTGGTTCTACGAGCAAATTCAATTTAGGCAACAAATTGTCTGAATATAGCGTGTACCATTCATTCTATTTATTCTTCTATAAATTAAACACAAAAGTCGTGTTTGATCTATTGATAACAAATGAAAACGAAGCGAACAGGAATAGTTCGTATAGTAAAAATGGAGAATAATATAAATTATTTTCATTTCTTTCGTAATTCATTATATTCAGAAAAGAAATTATAGCAAACTACGATACATTAAATTTTTCTCTACAACCAAGATAAACCTAAAAGCAAACAAAATTTATTTTCTATATTCAATTGTATTCGTTCGTTATACAATATTTGGTTCTGTGACTTAAATTCAATATTTTATTCAACGCTAAACGGATGGACAATTGTATATCTTTTATCCGTTAATCGAAATTTATATCTGGACGAGAATTTCACCCATCTCTGTCGTAGTATGGACAGAATCATTCGAATCGAGTGTACCCCACGGAGCCATTTTTCTCGGTCGTCAATGATGGTAAGGGTGCATTCGATCGGTACAAAAACGTACCCCATATAGATACACAAGGTAAAATATAAAAACAAATCAACGGACGTAATAGGACGAAAAAGGGATCGGGGGTTTAGATGTTGATAAAGTTTCTACGAAAAATTCGTTTATTAAATTCTCGTATAAAAATCTAGCGGCACTCGTGTTTATCTAGATAACAAATGTTTTGGAAGGGGGTAGTAGTATGCATCATCTACCATGCATAGGCTGAATCATACGAAGGAAGAACTCATTGGTTCTATCGAATTTACCGGCAAATATCCAGATGGACTTCTCTACGTTTTCATGGACTTTGTTGCCAATTAATCGGAGACAAATGCACGCTCATCCAGGAACACATTTATGCGAATCACTGGCTTCCCCCTTTAACGTGGCTCGTCTCTTGAATGCTTGCGTTTTGGCACCTACGAATTTTTTATATATATATATTTTTTTTTTTAGTTTGTTCCGCGTGAGGAATATTTGATGTTTGAACCTTATAAAATGTCTTTGATTCTGTGCTTCTAGATATAAATCAGAGGCATCTAAAGTATAATATACTCTACTACCTAATAGCAAATTGAAAGCATTCCAACTCTAATACATGTATACAGTCAGTCCTTTAAGTATTCGTAACCTCTACGTTTATTGTTTAAATTACATGGTATGCTTGATGTTTCCACGTAAATGTTTCGTTATAAATATATACGCGTGTAAAGTTTATTTAGGTACATATTTATAATGAAACATTTATTTGGAAACACCAAGCCTACCGTTAAATTTCTTCAGCGGACATAGAGGGATAAGATTGCTGATATTTATGCAAATTCATATTTTTATATGTACAGATGGAGGACAGAAATTTTAATTAATAAAAGAAAGACGAAGCGAAAAACAGAATCGTATATAATTATTATGTCCTTTTCAAGTAAAATATACATTTTACAAATGCAGAAAGAATGTAGAACTCAATTAAAGTACGTTTCGTCTTCCAAATGTCTACTTATAGGACTGACTGTGTATATCATCGAAATGGAAATTCAAATGCTGACATTTTCCCGTGCACTTCAATTTTTCTCGTGACGACGGTTCCAAATAAACTTCAACTAAATCTATGTATCACAAAATACTCGGATCTCTCACGGGTTTGGACAAAACGAAGCGTATCACCTTGGATCGTTCTGTTCATTGTCATCCTCGTGCACCAAACTTTGCGAACTTCTTACTCGATCGGTCGAATCCACCACCGCGTACACGTACAAGAGATTCCTTCTGAGCAGAGATGGGCAAAATTCTCGTTTAGATTCGAATCTCTGGAAGTTATTTTTACAATTTTCGAATGCTTCTGAACGTTACTTATCCATCAGATCTGAATCGCACAATCTGCGTTAGTGAAGGTAAAGCGATATCGTAATTAAAGGAATAATCCTCTTTCGAAACCGTTCCAATGGATCACTATACGTTATTTCTGTTTTCTGGTTTGTTATTCGAATTTCGCCCGTCTCTGAGAAAGTCCCCTGCGACAAAGACGCGCCGTTTCGGGGTTGAAACTCGGCAATGCGAATCTGCGAAACGGTCCGAGAGGTTCCGCGGACGGTCTTGTAAAAAGGTGGAGGGGATCGGTGGTGACTCGAGCCACGTCGTCGCCCCGTGCACTCCCAATTATAGAAGGCAGCCTAATCGTCCAATAATTCCTCTCTATACCCTTCATCGAGTGATCGAACACTTCCAATGACGTTACGCGCAACCGCGATCCGGGATCGTTTATCATTGAAAACACCGTCGCGTTTCCGAGGATAATCCGAATTATTATTATTGGCACGGAACGGCGTATAAAGGCTCGTACGTTTATCATCGTGTACGACGAGTCGATAATAGCCTCTGTTTCACGACACGGGGATTCTAATTGATTTAATGCAGCGCGTCTGATGTTTCAGCGTAGCGATTTGCAGGAAATTTGCTGAATTATGGTAGACGATGCGTAAAAGTAGCGTCGCTTATAACGCGTTCACCGCCATGTCAACACTTGCTTTACTTGGATTTCTTATTAGATTTCTATTAACGAAATAATACTTTAACCAGTGAAATCGATTTATTAAAATTAATTAGGAGGCTCGAACGAAAATGAATTTGGATATATTCTTGTCCTTTTAGGACAAGGTGAGATTTAGAATGGGTCAAAATGATCGTACTAAATAGGCCTGGTGTTGACTATATATGTCAGGGTTTCTTATTAAGGGATTAAATGAATTAATTGCGATAGGCGGGGTATTAATGAAAACAAATCTGGATGGGATTCGTAAATTGTGATGAGCAGACTGCGGATTTTATGCATTTATGTTGTACACTTATATAGACACAAAAAAAAGTATACATAATGCTTATAGAATATATATTCTATGAATTAATATATGATATTATTAATATTTTGTTTTGCATAAGTGCATTTATCGTATATAGTATAAGTGTATTTGTCATGCATCAAATGTGCAGTTTAGCGATGATACTGCAAATATAAGTACCATCACAAATGTTGGATTAGACAGTTTTCAATTCCAGGGAAACAAAATGTTACCCATGTAGAAATTTTCACCTGGCAGTCACCATGTTAATAGTGCACACCAGGTATACTTGAATCGAACTTCTGCTAATTTACTGTGAATGTTCATGGATTTCGTTTTTATGAGAACAATTTGAATTTCGTAACATTTACAGAAGTATATCAAAGGAAACCTGCAGTGACAGATATTCACGTGATGCTTTAATTTTATTAATTACGCACGTGTTTTACTATTTCCAGTTTCGTAGATGCATTTAAATATTTCATCTTAAATCGAATATAAATAGCAGTCGTATATTTTTTTCCAACTGCAGACTCGTCGACTATGGCCTTGGCCATAAGGAGAGTCTTGCTTCGTGCGTGTGTAAAATTTTACAAACATCGATTTATTATCGTTGAAGATTTTAAGGATCTCCAACTCGATAAAATTGAATTCGAGAAGCACAGGATTAATTGAACGCTATCTGCTCGATTTGTTGAAACGATGCAATCTGGAATAATATGCTTGTGTATCGTTGCACACAATGGGAGATAAAACTTATCGGAGTAATGTCTCCGATCGATGATAAATTAATTACGGTGATTAAATCGATTCACTAAAGCCATGGGTCGATAGAATATTCGTAGAATAATAGATGAATAACAAATAGAAACAATTAAATGAATACGTACAAAACATATTTTTTGGGGTAATTTATAATATACTCAAGTCTATCTGTTCAACGTGAGACATATAATTTGATTGCGTAACTCAAACTGCAATCATTACTAAACAGATAACGAATCGAAGGTTGTCTATCCTTTATTCGTCGTTTGAAATTATTTAACCAAATTGAGAATTTAACTTATCTCTGTCATCGAATTGAAATGTGACATTTATTGGTTTCACACTTGGGGCTCTTTATAACAATAAAAGTCACGTTCCCATTCATTTTATTCAAAGGTTTTCTTAGTGTTTCATAGGGCTTAATAAAAATTACAATGTTCTCAAAGGGTAAGAAACAAGTAGGTAGGTATTTCAAGAAATGTTAAGACTCTATAAAAATCAAATAAGTTTGTTAAAATCGTTGATCCACAAATCTCCGGTCATTTCTTTTTATATTTTCTCAGCTTATACGGTCATCCATCTTTCCAAGTCGTGGGCTTCTC